TAGTCGTAAAGATCATTCAATTTTATGGACATTGAAAGACCAGGGAGGTCTCATTGTCATTTAAGCGGTCTCCAGTAGGTTGGATATTGAATATCGAATAACGAATAACGAACCGGCCGCTAACTTCACATCCATATACATAGCGAACACGTGCAATTGGGTTTTTCTAGGTCTGTTTGATTGCATATTATAGGTTAAAAATATGTTAATCATCGTTTGAACCTGTATAAGAACGAGTTTTAGTTGATCGAATCAGTCCAATGGTTTACCCTTGTTTCACTTTCAATGTTGACATTCTTTTCCTTTAAATGATGAACACGCCTATTTTATGCGTAATCCATCTCTAGCTATAGTGTGTGATAACATTTTGTGAGGGAATTCGACGTTTGCTATACCACGGTTCCTTTCAACGCACTTTTTGACAATACCACTATATCAATCAGAATGAAATTATTTGCAGTGTTTTGAGAAATGATTTTACTTTGTATACATGTATTATTTGTGATACATTAAATGTTTTAAAAGGGCGAATTTTCTGTATAAAGTCAATTAGTATGTAGACTTTTGAAGCCCAAACTTTCTATTGCCTTAAATACGCAAATGAAAGATCCGAGAACTATACCAATACAGAACGACATGATTTTGAAAATATAGCAAAACTTTTGGTTGACAAATTTTTATTCGTTATTACAAAAAATGAACTTGAAATATCTGTCATTTTCTCCCTACCCAGTTTACTCCTATTACTTATTGTGATGTGTACCGGACATTGTTATTGAATCTTACGCAATGTGATTGGATTAATTTATTATTAATTTACCTTCAAAGTGTTTAATTTTTTCATACATGTATATTGATTAAATCAGAACGTGCATGTGTGTGTACAGTAACTTAAATGACCTTCATCCTGGACATTGGACGAGTCCATATTATTTTTTTTATCAATGAAACTAAAGGTATGAAAGGAAAGAATTGCCACTTCTTATATTTTCACAAAATTTTCCACATATACCGTAGATAAATTGTTTCTTAATAACCTATTACCGAAAAAAAAAGAGAAAATTTACAAATAAGACGTTCTATTCCATTAAACAAGACATTTTTCGAAGAGAAATGCCGAAATACATTTTACGCACGGCCTCGCCAGTTAAAATTATTGTTTATCTTAACAAAACAAAAATTGTTCAGTCTCATTATAATGTTATAATTACAATTAATCCCAAACAAAAGTAGTCAGTAAATAAAGTCAAAACATGTCCGATCTGCCTATTTTTGGACATCAAAATTCAATACGATCGTTTTAAGGTCAATTTCGTCTACTTCACAAAATCTTGTTAGGCACTATAAGGGGATAAATTGTATGCCACATGCATACGTATTCAATTTGCAAGTGAATAATTCATAAGCGATGTTTCTTAGCTTATTTTGACAAAATTGAACCAAACTGGCTTCTTAAATCAAATTATCTTTTCACTATTTCACTTTCATTGATGATTGAAGAAAACAAAATCATATTTTGTTTTATATCTCGTAGGTAATGCCCCTTTAACTTTGCGGCTACCAACTTATACTATACGATTACATTATAACGGTACAAGCCCTGTGTGTCTGTTGTACCGATGTGTATCATATGTTCATTTATATATATATATTATATATATAATTCGTCTAAACAACAGCACAACAATGTTAGATCTGTAAATTTGCGGAAGCAAATATTTTGTTCTTCCCTGGCCGGGATTCGAACTCATGCTACTGAGATATCGTGGCATCAAATCGCCTTGCACTATGCCCGACGCGCTAGACCACTCGACCACCTAAGCTCTATAATTATAAAGCTTTCGGTGGCTGGGTGTTACCTTTCATCGTCAGTTTTTATCTGGCGTCGTAACACAGTACATGATATATAAGGCATGAAGATGGAATTGTTACAGATCAGCTGAATTATCTATTGTAAAGGATCCTACAAATTAATGTAAGATGCAGTCACAGAAATAAATATATAATAAGTACGTCTGAACCAGTGACGACTCTATAACAGATGTAGAGTCGTCATTGGTTCAGATATATTATATATATATATATATATATATATATATATATATATATAAGAGGCATCTAAATTGCAACTCATTAGTAGCCGTGGGATTTCGTCGATGTGTTGATGTAAGTCACATATAACAGATGCCAAGGAGGGGTTCGATTACCCGGTGAAGGCATAACAAATTTACAAAAGTTAATGGTAAGTTTTTAAATTAATTCCATTAGTGAACAGAAAGCAGTAAACACGCCAATTCAAACTTAAGGAAATTAGGCACACAAAGGAAACAATTGAATATAATTTGGTGAGTCCATTTCAGCGGCAGATTTAGGAAGCATTGATTCTTAATAGTTATCCCATGAGGACGTGGTATGTCAGTGTAAGATCACCCCGATGGCCGGAGGCCAGAGGGTGATCTTACATTGACACACCTAGTCCGATTGGGATAACTATTTTACATCCAAGCTCTTCTAGACTATATGAAAAACACATTTACGCTTCATAACATCTAGTTCAGAATGCCATACAATAATTATAATATATTTTAGATATTACTATATAACGTATATACTCTTTATGAGCCTCCGGATACAATGTTTGAATATGTAAAATTAACAGTGAGTTTGTATCCAGTCATCCTGGTGTAGGGGTATGAATCGTGGCTTCATATCCTTAAGGTCTTGAGTTCGATTCCCCGCATAGACACTGGAAATTTAGTAGATGTTTTCTACATAAATTTTGAAAGTTAGTCTTTATTCCGAATAAATATTTCTAAGTTTTATTGTGTGTTCAACATTCCCGCCAAAATGTTACAAAACAAAAGAATGCATGCAGAACAAAGAAAATAAAGGTAGGGTGATCTGGTAAGGGTGATCTGTGTGATCTTACTCAGATCACCCATGTTAGAACAAAGGAGTTTGGATGTAAAAAAAGAAACCTCGGTAAATGAATAGGCTGACGTCACGGCAATGGTTTAAAGACCGCTAGTCTACGATGGTATCATAAGCTCAGAAGTCAGTGCTTCGGTTATGGCATATTTTGTAACATGCACACTCTTATATTCTCCGTTAAAAAATTTACAAATTATTTAAAATCTTAAGATCAAACTCATTCTGGCAACAAACCTGACCTTAGATGAATTTTGCTACTCCTTTTATGTCAAGTTTCTTCGTACAGCGCCTGGTGTTATTAGGTATTTTTACATCATCGGCTTCCAAAGTTTTCACTGTAAACATTCCTGTATTTTGCTGTGGACGTTGAAGTTAAATACACAAAAGCGCTTCCGAAGCACAACATTCATTAAGTGTTATTGTTATTTGCTAGCACATGGTTAATAACACTGCTAGTCACCGAGAATAAGTGCTTAGATACTGACATGATTTATAACATGTTTGTTTCTGATATTCTCCGTTGTTTAATTTATAAATGATTAAAAACCTAAGGTTCCAATTCCAATAGGCAAAATTTACCTTCTATGAATTAGGCTTCTTTTAAAGTCCCCTTTTGGTCATACAGCTCCTAATGTTTTCATGTATTTATACATCCTCGGCTTTCACAATTTTTGATGCTTGATTTCTTGATTGACAACATATTTGTTTCGTTTGGAGGACGTTTTTTTCAATAAACAATCAGCATTCCCATGGGAACCAACTGTGCTCCTCTTCTTGCCGACTTTATCCTTTATTCATACAGAAACTTCGTAGGAAGAAAGAGAAGAGTTTAGTAGTATCCTTTAACTTCATTTTCCGCTATATAGATGATGTTTTCTCACTAAATAATTCAAAATTCAAAATTCAAAAAATTACTATGTTGAACGCGTCTATCCCATCGAACTTGAAATAAAGGATACAACAGATACAGTTAAGTTTGTCTCATATCTTGACTTACATCTAGAAATTGACAATGAGGGTCTGTTAAAAACAAAACTTTACGACAAAAGAGATGATTTAAGCTTCCTAATTGTGAACTTCCATTTCTATGTAGCAACATTTCAGCAGCGCCTGCATACAGAGTATTTATCTCTCAGTTGATACGATATTCCAGGGCTTGTATTTCCTATCATGATTTTCTTGATAGAGGGTTGCTGCTCACAAGGAAGCTATTAAACCACGAGTTCCAATTGGTGAAGCTGAAATCATTCTTTCGTAAATTTTACGGACCGTTATGGAATATCTGTTTAACAGATGACAACGGGTTTGTACTATCATGAGCAACACGACGGGTGCCATATGTGGAGCAGGATCTGCTTACCCTTCTGGAGCACCTGAGATCGCCACCGGTTTTTGGTGGGATCGGGTTGCTAAGTCTTTGGTTTTCTATGTTGTGTTTTGTGTACTGTTGTTTGTTCGTTGGTCTTTTTCTTTTTTAGCCATGGCGTTGTCGGTTTATTTTCGACTGATGAGTTTGAATGTCCCTTTGGTATCTTTTGCCTCTCTTTTGACAGTGGTGAGGACTTTTTTTACAAGTATTCCTTAAATGTTACATTATAATGCACACCATTCCAAACGTAATATTTTATTGATTGATTATTAATTTTCAGGTCCTCCCGGAACATGGAAGTCAGAGCATGCATTCAGGTATGCACACAAATTTTCAAAAACGTTGGTAAAGGACCATAACTCATTGATTTGGCGGATAGATTGCAATGCTGAATTGAGTATCTTTAATTCTCTTTCTCATTTAATGAACTACCTACAGATACAATATATTAACTCGGAACTGGACATACCACAGTCAATTCAGATAATGTTACTGCGTGCCATAGAGGTTTTGGAAAGCGACAATTACAAGGGTACGAAGCATCTTTTTATACTGATTGGGCTTCTATCCCCACAGGTTACCATAATAAAACAGTTCTTGGAGAGGTTGAAAGAGTATAAAAACATATTCGTTATTGTAACTACGAGTGAGCCATTATCAAATGACTTCGACAATATTATAATTGAGCTTCACGGAATGTTAGAGAATGAGGCTGTAACATTTCTAAACATTGATGATTTGTTAGAAGAGAAGGCAAAAGAATTGGCAAAAAGATTGCGCTTTTTACCAGGTGGTCTAGCATTTGCCAAAACGTATATTCACATAACAAGAACTAGCATGAACAATTATCTTGAAAGACTTGAACATATTACTAGCATTGACGGTTCCGCCTCCAAGAAAGCTTGTGAAATGCTTATAATTCAAGCGGAAAAGGATATGTCGTCCGATGAAAAAGCAATTCTTCACCTCATTCCATATCTGAACACAGATAATATACCTATCCGCATTCTTAAATATCTTTTGCCCACCATATTAAACAAAGACGAAAAGACGATACTGATAGACCACTTCATCCGCACCTTAAAAGAATATTCTCTGATTTCTATTCAGGGTATAGATGATCAGCAAATAATAACTGCCAATGGGTTTACTTTTATGATACTGAAAGCAACTCAAACATGTGCCGACAGAAGCTCTAATCTTAAAACACTTCTGAATTTCTTCATGTGTTATATTGATCTAGATGTAAGATTGTTTGAAGATATCAACAGAAACATACTTCTATTAAAACACGCAGAGGCCTTTTTATCACATTTGGAAGACAATTGCAAGTCATGGTCTTATGATACGAAAGCTATAGTTTGCTATATATATTGTGCGATCGGAATCACATATAGATTGTATGGAAATACTGAGTTATCCGCTAATGTATATCTAGAAAAAGCAAAACTTTTAATGTATGAAACATTCTTAATTGGTCAGCAAACACAGATTTTTAATATCAAAACTGAAGCTTTATATGACTCAATGCATGATTTTCTTAATGGAAACGGAGTTCTCCAAGAGCACTGTAAAATCATCTTCAACACACTGGTTGAAAAGGGAAAAACACTCCCTTATGAATTCGTTGACACATTTATCGAAAACAAATATAGAAACACAAAGGCCATAAATCAATTGTGGGATAATGGTGAACTTCTTACCAAAGATACACGCAATAATCAGTTAACGACTGAGGTCATAAACGCACTAAGAAGTAAGAACTTGATTATGGAGAGTCAAAATATATCTGACACATTTTTAGTTGAACTCCTGATTAGGATTCTCTATAATTCTAGTAAAAATAAATGGTTAATGGAACTTTCCAAAGACAGATTCTCGAAACCGGAAACGGGCAAATTGCGTCATAGACTTTCCTGCACGTTCGTCCCTGATACAACAGAAAGCTTAATGGAGCATCAGCTAGCACATTGTCTTACACAGTTATTACAGCAACATTTGAGCTCCTTGCCTATGCAGCACGTTAGAATTGCAACCAATAAAAGTAATGTCAGATCCTTCTGTTCTGTTTTCAGTCCAGCAACATTTCGTAGTGGTGTATCATATATGTTGATATCATTTTCCGATCCCGATCGGTTATCGTTTTTACTTAAAGAAGCAATAGAACTATTGAATGGCCTTGATTCTAATATAGAAGGCACAGGTTTTACTGAGTTTGGAGTAGTTACACGCATTGGCAATTCAAGTCTGTTTCATTCCGTAATGATTGACAGCATTAAAATGGAGTGTTATGAAAAACTATATAAACTAGAATGTCAGGAAAACCCAACTAAGGACGATTCTAAGAGTGAAATCTTTGAACAGCCTAGCATATCAAAAACCGAAAATATTGAGAAAAGTAAAAGCTTGAGCAAACCGGATTTGCCAAGAATCAAAAAGGCCACAAAAAATGAGAATTTGGAGAAAGCTCTAAAAAATCTAAACTTAATTAGGGCGTTGAAAATTGCAAAGGAGTTAGAAAAGAACTTCGAATACCTGACATCATTCAAAGCCCTGTCAGAAATCCATTTGAAAATTGCCGAAGTGTTTAAACTTACAGGAACAGAAGAGAACATTCGGAAAGCAATACAGCATTATAAAAAGGCCTATGACCGAGAATATGAAAGCAATGCCACAAGATTCACTCGTTTTCATTTAAAAGGAATTGTCCATTACGCTGAGTGTTGTATTCAATTTCCCAATGAGAAAGACTTACATATTGCAAAGAAATTGTCAAATGCAATGCAACATCGCTTTAGAATGGTTAAAACTTGTACTCTTCTTGACGAGATAATCGGAGATATTGAAAGCTGTTTGGTAAGTTGAAGATTCCATTACAAAATCAATCTGTCTTAAAATTCGTACTTAAGCATTTTTATCAAATGATGTGTTTACAAATTTCAATTGATATACAGAAACGTACCGTATATTGTTTTTAGGGGGATTTTATTACAAAAAGAACAAGTTAAATTTTTGGTGTTTATTATTTAGCTGATTGATCAAAACAAACGAAAACAAAAATGCTGTAATGTAATCAGAAAAAAAGATAACATAAACTTAATCGACTTACGAATATCGAAAATAAATAAATACAAATTAAAGTATGAGAACTAAATTATACAAAAAACAGAATGCAATTGTTCTGAAAAATTTGTGTGCAATGCGGAGTGCAAATTTGCAAGTGTTGACAATTTTGTAGAAAAGAGCACGATGGGTGCTACATGTGGAGCAGGATCTGCTTACCCTTCCGGAGCACCTGAGATCACCCCCAGTTTTTGGTGGAGTTCTTTGTTGTGTTTTGTGTACTATTGTTTGTCTGCTTGTCTTTTCCTTTTTTAGCCATGGCGTTGTCCATATATTTTGGACTGATGAGTTTGAATGTCCCTTTGGTATATTCGCCTTTCTTTTAATAACACAAAATATCATTGAAAATGTGAATATTTTTTTGTGACAGGGCTAATTTTTATTATAAAACAAGTGTTCATGAACTTCTTTTAACAGAAAAACTCTTTTTTGTTTATCGAAATCTTCATTAAATGCACTGATATTGAATTATAATTAATATTATGTTCCTTTGTTTGTCAAACTTACGATGGGTAAACTTAGGCAACAAAACCCAGTAGTTAGTTAACAGCAAAGATGTTCGATATGGATTCACCGAATAAAATATTGGTTGTCGATTATACGTAACGGATTCGTAATTAATGTAAATGTAACAAAACGTGCATAGACTACTTAATCTAGTATATATGCATGCATTGAGATCTCAAAAAACATGTTTAACCCCGCCGCATGTTTGCGCCTGTCCCAAGTCAGGAGCCTCTTGCCTTTGTTAGTCTTGTATCATTTTTAATTTTAGTTTCTTGTGTATAATTTGGAGTTTAGTATGACGTCCATTATCACTGAACTAGTATACATATTTGTTTAGGGGCCAGCTGAAGAACGCCTCCGGGTGCGGGAGTTTCTCGCTGCATTGAAGACCCATTGGTGGCCTTCGGCTGTTGTCTGTTCTATGGTCGGGTTGTTGTCTCTTTGACACATTCCTCATTTCCATTCTCAATTTTATTGGTCCAATAATTTCCTTAACATTAAAGATTAGAGTCTTATTTCATTTGACTTCGATTGTCAAGATCATATAGGACCACACTGGTTTGTCGTTTCGTCGTTTTTTGTTCTCGCTTTTTTGTCATCGCGTTTGTCTATTTCTCTTCGACTTATGAGTTTTTAATGTCCTCTTGGTATCCGCCGATTATATTGAATTACAACTGGGTCAATGTCACTGCTAGTGGATATAAAATGCATGAAACTAAGAAGTCGTCGCCCATTATAAAAAAGTTCCGAAACTGACATCATGAAGAATACCAAGTCGTCTAAAATAGAAAATGTGCCTTTATCTTAATCATGACTTTAAATCCCGAACACGTCATAGCAAGATCAGCATACTGATGACGATTGCAATAATGTTCGCACACGACCGTCTACGATACAGCTACAAGACATTTTAGACTTAAATGAGATTGAAAAACACTGTTTCATTTCTAAATGTAAAACCCAAAACTGCAAAACCAGTAAAACTTTGATAACAGATGTTCATTTTACTGGCAATTTAAAAAAATCTTACTTCACCAGGAGTAACGATTATCTGAATTGTAAATATATTGTAACCTTTGTGGATCGGTTTAAGTCTGTGAAATGAAAGGAAGGCTTAACAAACGTATGGGCAGTCATTGTTCAAATATTAACAACAAACCAAATGGCATTGTTTTTTACAACAGTTTAATCAATCTGATCCTTCAATCCTTTTTATGCGACTTGGCTTTTATCCAGATAATCTATCACATGTTTAACAATCCTTATCTTGCAACAGCACCCCGTAGACAAAAGTAAGACTATTGGATTTAAGAACTGGGAATTGCTACACCCTATGTTAAAAAAATGAGCTCAGTCGGAAAAACAACATTTCTACTTAAAAAAGATCAGTCTTTTCCTATAATGTCTTATACTCATGCCTCACTTACACTACTATAAATAAAATTTTCAATTATAAACACGTGTTGCAGGATCTGAATATTGACAACTTCAATTCTAAACCTCCTGAATGTGTCTGTACTAGTTCCACATTCATATATATTCTGGCTGGTCAGGTTATTTCTGGTAACATTAACATATTTACAAAACGTCTATGCTAAATGTGCTAACCAAAGAGTCATTATATTGTGAGCCTAAATCCATAAATTGAAATACTAATTGATTCAGTCGATGCCAACACCTGAATACTTTTTTTCTAATTTGCTTAGGCTTTGATATCGTTAATACAAATTGATAAAGCTGAATGGATCTATGAACACTCATGATTCCTCTTTCTTAAAAAAAAAAAAAAGTGTTGTTAGCACCTATTCTACCTCCATCACACATATGCTGTTGTTCCCGCAGATAAGGCCCCGAAAAACGTCGTATTTGAGTGTTAATCACATTATGTAAAACGGAATTAGGTATTGACAATTCAATTGGAAACTCAACGGATATGATCTTGCCTTTGACGGGGACTGATTAAGACAAGTAAATACGAAATTCACAACTTTATTCTTACATCATCTTACAAAAACTAAAACAGAAACAGCATGACGAGTCATAATAACCTGAAATAACCTCGAACCGAATTCAACCGTTCTACATAACATCCCCGCGCGAAACAAAAAGACATTACATATACAAAAATCTTTCGTATATGATATTACTTAGTATAAAAACTTTGATTTAATCATTTTACTTATCGCAAACTATTTCTCCTTCCTCAAACTTACAGGTAAATAACGTAGTGAGATTAATAATGAATTATTAAAAATATTGGAAATTAAACCGTGCTGTGATGACCTTATCTAATTACAATACACAAGTATGAAATCTACAGAGACCGCTACCTCTTATTGAAATTAGCTTTCAACTATATGTTACATTCACCATAACTGCTCCACTCACGCACTCATACATCACCCATACTCTCTCCGACACAGACTCATTGGTTAACCATATTTATAGTTAATGAAACATTTAAAACAAAAGCAACATCTCAGTAAACGGCAATTTATGACTTCTATCATACCGCTATGGATAATGTTTCTCAAGAACATTCATTCAACTAATGTTTCCAATGTAATACTACATAATGTACCATAATATATCTTGTTTATATGTTCCGGACCATGCGAGTATTTGGACCATACTCATATAGTCCGACCATACGCGTGATAATTAATACGATGAACGTTGACTCTTGTAACACTATGGTAATCATTGTTACATGGTTAATGAAAAACGTGAATTTTATCTACAAATTAAAAACGATAGAAAAGGTATTTTTACACGGTCAATATCGATGTTTCCTCACGAAACACAATACCTCGACTTCGTCTTTTGAAATTAACTTCAAGATATATCTTAATGAATCGTTAAACAAGAATTCAACTGTTTTACTCACATTGTACCTTTTTTCTTTAATCTAAAAGAGAATAAAAGGCATGTTTAGTAGTGTTGGATGAATTTTTGTCTCCTGATTTCAACACAATAATTATGATTTTTTTTTTTTTTTTTTTTATTGCATTTAATGTTAACTGATGTATTTTTGCAATTGTACTTTCGTGTATTTCGCAATACTCTGTATCTGCATCATAATCTTTCTTGTTATTTAGAGATAGCTTTTTTTGATGAAAGAACTTTTTATGACAGAATTTTGACTTTTCATTATATAATTAGAAATCCTTGTCCATGTACTTCAGAACTTTCGGAATCCATAAAATTTGGAAATCCAACTCATTTACATGTACCTTCAAATTGTATATCACCGACGTGTTCTGGTAAATACGGAAAAAAATGGGTCCTCTTGATCGGGACTGTCAATATTGTCCTGGTTAGGTGATCAACTGCACCGAGATAAAGCGTCTGCAATCTGCTTATTTTTGGCTGGCTAATAACGGAGCTCGAAATTGAACTGTTGCAAAATTGCTAACTATCGTTCGTATATGGCCCCTTTCAGCTGTATTTTGAAATATTGGCCTAAGGGCTTGATTGTCACATTCAGCGATGAATTTTCGACCTCTCAAATACATTGCACAATCTATAGGGCTGTTACCATCCCTAATAATTGCAATTTTGTAGGTCCGTATGATCTTTGCTATTTGCTTAATGACTAAGACCAAAAAACAAATAACACGTTCATACTGGGTATTGTCAGCTTGCTCGTGATATTGATATATCATGTATCCTTTACCTTTGGAACTAGTATCCACTGCTAAATAAAATTCAGTATTACAATTCTGAAAAGATAGGAGAGTTTGTTTTAACTTGCAAAATGCATTCTCTTGTTCAAGTGTCAACTTACATTTGACATTTTTACGGAGTACTTTGGTAAGCGGTTCAACTTCAGTGCTAAAATTAGGAATACACTTTATGAACCAGTTCAGCAAGCCTAAAGTATGATGAAGTTCGCGTACAGAAAGAGGTGGCGGATATTCCTAAATTGCAGTAATTCCATCTTTAGAGATCAGATGACCTAGAAATAAACAACATTTTTGGTCAAAATGACATTTCCTCGGGCCCAATTATATACCGGCGGCTTGTAAGCGATTAAATACTTCGCGCAAATCACTAATATTTTGATCAACAGTTTCCATTGTTATTTGAACAGCATCTAAATAGCAAAGACAAAAATTAAACTTCAAGCCATAGAGTACTCTGTCCATTAAAACTTAAAATGATCCTGGTAATGAACTCAAACCCATCAGTACTCGGGGGAATTTAAACTTTCCGTTGAAAGTATTAAGAGCGGCATAACGCCGACTTTCGGAATTTATAGGCATTTGAAAAGTTATGAACACAAATCAATATGTGTTATAAAATTCAGTGTTCTGTTTGAGAAAGACTCCGTTAAATCCTGCAAATCCGGAGGTCCATAAAAAAAACCCTGCTGAGTTTCCGATTTCAAATAGCAAAAACTGCAACAAAATCTGAACTGTGAGAGACTTTTTAAAGATTGAGAATCACTTTTATTAGTTTAAGTGTTTATTGTTCTCTTCGAAACTAACACGATGGAGCCTTTGATGTATATCCTTGGTTTCACCGTCCGAGGCAATTCCTTGTTTTAGAAAATGATATAAATTATCACGGAGTACTTGTTTTTTTTTTTATCTGGAGTAAGACTATACGAGCGTTGATATTTTGGCTTGAAATCTGGTTTCAATATAATCTTCGGTTGTACAACATCCGTATAACCTAAATTTAGGTTTTCATCAGTCACAAATATATTTTCGTGTGATTTTAGAAATTTCTTGTTGTAAGTCAGATAAATGCGTTGGAATATCGAAATATGACAGAAATTTTGTTTCGTTGTCGGCCTTCTGAAATTTTGCTCCGCTTTCAACCTCTTTGGATTTTTTTTTTTTCGATTTGAAATTAAACGTTATTCACTTCCAGTTTTCTATCGTTTTGAATCACTGTAACATGAACATCATTGTTCAGTATCTCAAATTGTACCCTTTTGAATGACAACAGTTTCACTTAACGGATTAAGTATTTTGACAGGTACATGTACCTGTTAATCATTATTTTATAGAAGTAGTGCCAGTGTACAAAAGAAACAGCACTCTAGGCAAGGAGAACTACAGTGATTTGAAAGCTGTATCCAAGTTCTTTGAGAGGGCGATTGATGTTCAGTTAGTGGAGTTTTTATAGCAACTCGTTTTAATGTCTTTCTGTCTGCTTATAGAGCGGGTAAAGTTGTCAAGACAGACTCACTTCTCCAAATTATAGAGGACTGGCGAAATTCATTATATCTTGCAAGGTCCTCATGCCTGTCAGACAGTTTTCACTTGACCTCGACCTCATTTCATGGATCAGTGAACAAGGTTAAGTTTTTCTGGTCAAGTCCATATCTTAGATACTACAAAAATGTATAAGCAATAAGTCTACTATATTTGGTGTATGTAATGATTGTAAGGTGTCCATGTCCAACTGAAAGGTGTCATCTGACCTTGACCTAATTTTAATGATTCAGTGGAAAAGGTAAGTTTTTGTGTTTTGGTCTGTTTTTTAATACTGTATGCAATAGGTCAACCATATTTGGTGCAGGAAATATTTTACGATGTACATGTCAGTCTGGCAGGTTTAATTTGACATTGACCTCATTTTCACGGTCCATTGTACAATGTTAAGTTTTTGTGTTTTGATCTGTTTTTCTTGAACTTAAAGCAATAGGACAACTATATTTGGTGTATGGAATGATTGTAAGGTGTTGATGTCTGTCTGGCAGGTATAATCTGACCTTCACATCATTTTCATGGTTCATTGGTCAATGTTCAGTTTTCCTGGTTAGCTTTGTCTTGGATACTATAAGCAATAGGTCAACTTTATTGATGCATGGAATGATTTGAAGGTGTACATGTCTGTTTGGCAGGGTTCATCTGACCTTGACCTCATTTTCATGGATTGGTCTGTTTCTTTTATACTATAAGCAATAGGTCATCTATATTCGGTGTATGCATGGAATGATTGTATTAAAGGTGTACATGTATTTCCGGCTCGGTTTATCTGACCTTGACCTCATTTTCTTGGATCGTATATGTTAATGTGATACTTGTAGTAAAACTTTATCTTTAGTACTATCAACATAAAAATCAATGGTCAGTATAGTAGGAGAGACATTTCAGCGTGTGCACTCTTGTATTTGTAAGGAATGGTTTTATAGTTGGCCAAAAATCTGTACGTTTTGGTCCACCAACACATTTCTCTATAAAAGATTTTTTAATAGAGTTTCTTTTAATTTTAGATACAAGATTTCTCTTAATCTGACAATGTTTCCATGAATTTGAGTCTCGCTCTCTTTATTTATTGTGTAACATTCTTTTTTATAGACAACTTTTCTTAATTTACTGTTCATAAATGTTACTGGTTTATTTAATATTTTTTTCTCCTAAAAAGGTACATGTTTGTTATAAATATAAATAAAAAAAGGGTTAATTTTTTTGTATGATTGATTTAAATTTCATTTCAAACTGAGCATGTTATTTTAAATAATAAGAAATGATTTATATCTGTAGCTTATAAACCTCCATATAGATAACAAGATGTGGTATGAGTGCCAATGAGACAACTCTCCATCCAAGTCACAATGTATAAAAAGTTAACAATTATAGGTCAAAGTACGGCCTTCAACACGGAGCCTTGGCTCACACCGAACAGCAAACTATAAAGGGCCTCAAAATGACTAGTGTAAAACAATTCAAACAGGAAAACCAACGGTCTAATCTATATAAAAAACGAGAAACGAGAAACACTTATGAACCACACCAACAAACGACAACCACTGAACAACAGGCTCCTGACTTAAGACCGATGCATAAAAATGCAGCAGGTTTAAACGTTTTAACAGGCGCCAACTTTCACCCTAACCTGAAACAGTAGTGTAACATTACAACATAAAAAGACACACTATAAAATATCAATTGAAATCATTATACTGACTTTTCAGTCGATTTTGCAAACTATTTTTTTTATAAATTTTTGTCATAATGATAATTTCCTGGTACTTGGTGATTTAAATTTTGATGTACTAGTTGAAGAGAAAAGTGTTAATCTTAAAAAAATAAATGATATTTTTGATATAACAAATTTGATTAAAATTCCACATGTTTAACAAAATGCTACACCACATGATGAAAATGTTGTTTGAGCTTTTGATTTTTCCATTTGATAAGGGACTGTCCGTTTTAAATTTTCCTTGGAGTTCGGTATTTTTGTTGTTTAACTTTATATCAAGCTTTGTAAATGTAATCTTAACAAACAAGCCAAATTTTTGTGGTAATATGTAATTTTGATTGTGGAATAAGTGATGTGCATAACCTTATAGCTGTACAATTGAATAGTGAAATTCCTACCAAATCAAGGGTGAAAATTTCATTGAGGATCTCGAAAAAGCTGATTTTCAAAATATTACTAGTGAAGATCTAGATGTAAATCAATCATACAAAAATGTTAACCTTTTTTTTATTATATTTATAACAAACATGTACCTTTTTAAGAAAAAAAAAAATTAAATAAACCAGCAACATTTATGAACAGTAAATTAAGAAAAGTTGTCTATAAAAAAAGAATGTTACACAATAGACAAAGAGAGTGAGACTCCAATTCATGGAAACATTGTCAGATTAAGAGAAATCTTGTAACAAAAATTAAAAGAAACTCTATTAAAAAATCTTTTATAGAGAAATGTGTTGGTGGACCAAAACGTACAGATTTTTGGCCAACTATAAAACCATTCCTTACAAATACAAGAGTTCACACGCTGAAATGTCTCTCCTACTATACTGACCATTGATTTTATGTTGATAATACTAAATATAAGAAACAATTTGGAACATTTCAACTTAATCCTATATTAATGATACTGGTATGAGCCTAAATTAATGTACAAATTTTGTGGACAAAGCAGTGTAATACGAGAAATATCTCTTCATGCGAGAAATAGATAACATGTCATAACCATAAGAGAATGACACGGTATTGTTTTGTCAATGGTGTTATTTATAACAAAACTCATATAAGTGTGGACACAGATTAATGTGGATAATTTGTTTGATATTTTTTTCTAACAAAACGATTTTTCTATGGGTTTGTTCATAGTGTTTTTACTTGTATGTTTAACTGTGTTCCCAAGGACAGCTATACTGTGTATCAGACCAGTCAGTACGAAGCCCCAGAAAATAAGAACTGACGTATATTCAATATTTGGTATTAATGTTCGACTGTCATTGAGGAGACACTATTTGTATTGACTATCAAATTATTCTGTTACAATATGTTCCACATTTTTTTAAGGATAGCAGCAAATACTCAAAATTTGTACAGGAACACATTAGGTGCATTTTTACATGATGTGGTTTTGATATGCGAGATGGTTTCTGAAAACCTGATGCATCGACTTCTATGGTTTTATATATGTTCCATTGTGATGGTCATTTCTTACTTGTGTTTGTCCACAAAAATTGTACATTAATTTAGGCTCATACCAGTATCATTAACATAGGAGTAAGTTGAAATGTTCCAAATTGTTTCTTAGAAGATGTCTAATAGTTCTAAGTGATGAAAATACCTAGAAGGACGCTTGGGACTAGATGAGTTTTTTGGTGCAGAAAGTACACTTGTCTTGTGTTATTTTAATTCTTTCTTTGAAAATGTTTTCTTCCTAGACTCCAAGGCCTAGTTAAAGTTGTATAAAAGAAATATAGCGACCTCATACAAAGGCTACAATTGTTGTATTATTATCATTGCATACAATTCTAAATAAAATAAAACAGAATAGAAGATCTATTGAGAAACATATTTTTTTCGACATCAAAATTGTTTTTTTTTATTTGCTAAATCCTCAGAAAGTCTGAGAGGCTTCCTCCCCTAGGTCCCATGCCAGGGCGCTGCTCTGAACACACTGCTTGGGACCCTAAGCGGCTTCCAGACTCTTCTACAGACCAGGTGTGTGTGAACTGCACGCAGAACCTAGTTACGCCACCAATGATGTCTGCCTTTAATAAATTTTTATTGCAATTTTTGTACAAAATAATTTTCAAGTTATTGCAGGTCTCCCCAATCATTATAAATTGAACAGAATGCAAAAGAATCACTTCCTACATCAGTACTTGTACCTACATTTGTAAACTGTTTTTCTGGAGGAAATGATAAATGCGAAAGGTGCACTTTATATTGATATTATATGTCGATAAACAGTACCAGATGCGCGTTTCGGCAATATATAACAGTCTCTTCAGTGATGTATATATATTATAATTATTTAAGTGATGTATTAACACGGGTGTCATTCGGTATATCGAGGGAAAAGATCGTAAAAGAATAAGTAACAGTGGTCAAGCATTGAGATTGGATCGTGAAAGATCTGGTACCGGATCGCGAAAGCAAATAAAAAATGGTTCAACTTTCTGAACAATACTGTGCACTAAGGTAAAGAAAAAATGCAGTACTTTTTAAGAAAACACAAAAGGAGACACATAATTCTATGCGAATCATTAAAAGAAAACACACGTTTTTTTATCTATAATGATCACATCCCAAATTATCATGATATATTTGAAACTTAATCTTTAGTGTGTCAGATAGAACAGTAAAATAAAAGTTGCTTTTTTTTTCTTGAAAACGTTCATATAATTTTTGAAGAAGTCGAATTTTGTTGATTTTTAATCAAAATAGATTGTGAAAGATCAGGCTACGAATTATTTTGATCTTGAAAGACAAGGCGTGACCAGACTTGATTCATACATATATAACATTTCTGTAAACGATTAATATACTTGCAACTGGTCGAAACGTGTAATTACTTATATAATATAAACGTAAATTAATGCTTTTATTTTTTTGTGTTATTAACCACCACATTATTTTCTACAAAAACTAAGTATGTGTCTTTATAATATATACACAAATATAGACCCATATTTAGACCTGTTTTCACTTAAGATGCAAAGTTAACTAGACATCTCAGGTAATAGGACCTCCAGGAGCGTAAATTATCACGGTCTGGGGGTCTTCCCCTGAAATATCTGAATGTGAACGAAACTTCGTTTTTTTCTTACTGGTTGTTACTTTCAGCTATATAGACTGTGCGTACATTGCTATACGTCATTGTTACCAACTTCGTGCTGAAAATAGCAACATACGTACCTCGATTGGTTTTTATTAATACCAGGTTGAACTTTTAATTGACCTAGTATGTTCTTTTCCAAATCGGTACAATTTCGACTGAGTCTTGATTCACATGCCTGGTGACGCATGCATAGCAGAAGCCGCTTATCTTGCCGACACATTCGGCCTAGTTCCTTTGGAAATAATTAGTTTCTATTGGATTTTTTTTCTTCTAGTTTGAATCTTCAAGATGTTTTCTAATCTTACGGATAATCAATTCCTTTACGCTAGCACAAATAACTAAATATAACTGCAAACACTGTCTTACTCTAGAGTCAAAATCATACGGATACAGTCATATGTTTCCTGCGAACTGTTGAGATCTTTCTCAGATCAAATGTGAATATTTTAGCGCGGCATATCGGTCTTGTACAATTAAGACAGGTCTCTCCTCTTATGGTATCATGCAATGCTTTCATCGCCGCTATTTAGTCAATATGTGACAGTGCAACATTTAAACACAACTATGTATCTTATCTGATTGCGAAAGCAAAAACTGTCATTTCAAAATGTATATTAGAATGCAAGATCTACTCTTAGAAGCTTTACAATTTAAAATATTCTTTACGACGAAAGGGACGATTTTTCTTTCCCTATTGTTAATTTTCCTTTTTGGACGGTGATGTTCCTTTGGAATCGTCTTACGGTGATTATATATCCCAACTCGTTCGCTATGCCCGTGTCTGTAGTGACGTTTTGGATTTTAATAAACGTAATCTATGTATAACTGGTAAATTGTTAAGTCAGAGATTTCGTTTCCAGAAATTACTTAAAACCTTTACTAAATTCTTCCATCGATTCAAAGATTTGGTTTGGAAGTTTGGCTATACCTGAAGAAAACTTTATTTCAAACGGAATAGCACATCTAAATTTTTACGGGGATGTTGTTTACCGAGCCCGGAAATTTAGATACGATCCTGGTAAACTTATCAATCCTTTAAATAAACCTATTCTAAATGGTTACCAATTCAACACTGTAATTCGATCTTTGAATATTGTTTTATTGGTATAAATATAGATTTAGTTACCAGAAACTGGAAGCATACTTGAAAAACAAACAGTATTATTTATTTACTCACATGAAACAAACCGGGATGC